ACACACACGCGCGCGCAAAGAATGCAGCTGCAGTTCGAGTGAGAGCTGCCACTTGCAGCAACAAAGGTGGCGACAGTGGCTGATTGGCCAGGCCTATTGATTTGTGACGACAGGCTGGTATGACTGGCAGCAACTGTAGCAGCAGAGTGTCACTACACTTCCTGTTACCGGCGTAGACTGTGGCTGTCATGTTAAATTTCAAAGCAAAGCCAAAATATCAGTTGAAAATGGCCTTTTGAAAAAAAAAAAATCCTCAATGAGAAGATGATTTGAGCCAGAGAAAAAAAACTCAGCTCATGTAGCGTACATTTAAAAATAGTACAACATTGCAACAAATTTGATAAAAAGCATATAAGTACAGTATTGTTGTTGTTGTTGTTGACTGTGTCTAAAAAGTACAGAACAGTATATGTTGGAAGATATAGGAAAATAGCTGTCTTCAATCAGTAACTTATTCATTGTCTTTGCCATGCGATCATAAGTTGACACATCAGGGCTCATTCACAATCCTCTCCTTGTTTTACTGCAGGTGAGTCAGTACACATTTGCGATGTGCAGCTACCGAGAAAAAAAGGCAGAGCCAGTGGAGCTGCTCCAGCTGGATGGCTACACTGTGGACTACACAGATCCCCAGCCAGGTGACATACCGCTCAACAAAAATGTTGACATCCGTGACTTTGATTGCTTACATGATTAAATCTACAGTACAACTATGAATCTACAAGTGTGAATACAGCATTACAGCGATCCCTCGCTATATTGCGCTTCATTTAATGCGGCTTCAATACATCGAGTTTTTTTTTTTTTCCACAGTACTGTATTCAGAAAAAAATGCCAAATGACTCAGAGTTTTTGTACATGCCTGTATGCATGATTGGTTCCTGGCACAAAGTCGACCAATGACAGTGACTTGTGTCGTGTCACGCTGTTGACTCTCTGATCAGTGTGTCTCGTCACGCTGTTAACTCTCATTCGCCTGCCTCTCTCTGGCATGCTTACTTCTGTTGTGTTTGCTACGTGCGCATTGGAGGGAGGGGAAGAGAGAGAGAGAGAGAGAGAGAGAGAGAGTGATTGGGCTTGTACGAAAAAGCAGCATGTGTCTCTTCGCATCCTCCTCATCAATACCGATTAATTGTCTTATCATAAACACATCGGCTGCCGCAGGGATAGCGAAGGAAACGAAGGAAAAAAAAAACTAATCAGAGGTAGTTATTTTAAGTTACAACTGCATGTGCCTTATATCCCAGGGCGCGCTGCAAGTGGGGCCAACGGAACAGGGGCCTTCGGTATCCAACAGAGGGGCGTCACCCACAAGGGCTGGACGACTTTCGAAAAAAAAAATAACCAAGATTAAAATTTGGATTGATCATCCAGTCCGAGCATCCACACCTTTTTTCTGGGGCACCAAAAACTGCCAGTCACACCGGGCATTCACTCTGCCTGCTAGTTGGGTATATTAAGCCACATGTTGTGGGCCGCATGTTTCCAATATTCTCTTAGCTTGTTCTTCATACGGTGATACTTTAACAGACTTAATCAATGAATATATGCTTTCTCTAGGCCTGGATGGTGGTCGGACATTCTTTAATGCTGTGAAAGAGGGTGACACTGTAATATTTGCCAGTGATGATGAGCAGGACCGGATCCTCTGGGTGCAGGCCATGTACCGGGCCACTGGCCAATCCCACAAGCCAGTTCCTCCTACCCAAGTCCAGAAACTAAACTCTCGAGGGAGCACAGCGCCACAACTTGATGCACCGATATCTCAGTTCTGTAAGTGCTTCACTCTCTAATTCTCACTTTTCAAATGATCATGATTAAAAAACAAAAAAAAACAAAACAAAACCAAAGAGATAAAAACACACTCATCCTGGATCTGATTGAAACACTTAGAAAGTGATGCTTTGATGATCAGCCCTTACTTGTAAATCAAGAGAAGTACATCGAAAACAAATTTCCTGTATCATGATCTTTTCTTTCCACACTTTGTTCTGTCCATTACGCTGTCTGACAATGGCGTTCAGCTATTTCCTCTTTGCTTTGCCCTCTGTTGTAAATTTGCTGTACTTTCAAGTGTCGGTGGCTTTGCTATGTGTCTTTATGTTTTTCTGTTTGTTCCTTCTTCCTTTTCCCCCTCTTTTTAACCTTGACCCGCTATCTTGTAGCTGGAATGAACGGTAAGCACTTTCCTGCCTCTTTTCTCCTTCCTCTTGTTGTTCTCCCCTTGTATAAACATTGTGTCTTAAAGAACACTTGCAGAGGTGACAGATTTCTTTATTATCTTAAAAAGAATGCATAATTTATCAATTTCAATTTTTTTTGTGAAATTATTTCATCGGAGTTGCAAGTAAACTTTTCTTGATGAATTTTCTGCGTTAATTCAGAATCTACCTCTGTTTTTTTTTCCTCTAGCGCATCAAGGTTTCATACTACTACTAGTACGACTAATAATATATAATAATCATGATATGTAATATAGTGAGTGATAGTTATGAATTAAGGGCGGCCCGGTAGTCCAGTGGTTAGCACGTCGACTTCACAGTGCATAGGTGCCGGGTTCGGATCCGGCTCCGGCCTCCCTGTGTGGAGTTTGCATGTTCTCCCCGGGCCTGCGTGGGTTTTCTCCGGGTACTCCGGTTTCCTCCCACATTCCAAAAACATGCATGGTAGGCTGATTGAACGCTCTAAATTGTCCCTAGGTGTGAATGTGAGCGTGGATGGTTGTTCGTCTCTGTGTGCCCTGCGATTGGCTGGCAACCAATTCAGGGTGTCCCCCGCCTACTGCCCGAAGACGGCTGGGATAGGCTCCAGCACCCCCCCGCGACCCTAGTGAGGATCAAGCGGTTCGGTAAATGAATGAATGAATAGTTAAGAATTAAGGTCAGCAACAGCTGGATTTTTTTCCCTGAAATGTCATAGCTATAAATTACAATGCATGGTGAAATCACTGTTGCGCTTAAAACAAAAAAAAAAAAAGAAAATATCTCCCAAACCTGATGTGCTAAAAGAAAAAAAAAGAAATTTTAAAAGCTGCGTCAAAAATACTTTAACCCTTTCATGCACCCCATAACCTGACCACTTGACAAGTTGTCCACTGTAGTAACCACTGTCCCTGAAAGGGTTAAGGGACCATCTCTGATTAAAATTTGCTGTCGACCAGTGTAATGTATTCACAAGTTGAAAAAGTTTCCCCGCTACCAGTTCAGGGTTAGGCAACAAAACTGAACATTTGCACCAAATAAAACTGACAATATTCCCTTTTTTAATTAAAATGGATCAATGAGGTCACACAATAATTGGACCTAAAATATCGTGAAGAATTGCTCTAAGGTCACTAAATTTGGGAGGTGAACCCGCCATCATGTATCACTTAAATCACAAAGTGTACAGTCAACTCTTGCATATTGAAACAGTTTGGCATTTGCAATTTTCCTGTTCACAGATGTATTTTTTGAATCTCATGTGTACTCCATTATTCACTGAACGAGCTGTTCCTGTGCTCAGGCCAAAGCAATGATAGGACTTCCTTGATGCCATCTCATGAAATCTTGGTGTTGTTGTTGGTAGGTTTAATTGATGAATGTTTTTTTTTTTTTTTTTTTTTGGCTGATTATGAAAAGTCCAATTCTGTCTGTATACCTTACTTAAATGCACCCCACGTCGAGAGGAAAAGTCAAAGTATGTTTGTGTTACTCTCACAATCCAGCTACAAGCAGCCTCCATTGCAATTGCAATTCCTCTGTGTTTTCTAACACTTGGAACCCCTGGCAAAAATGCTGGAGTCCTTAATCTCAGAGGACGTTCATTCAGTTGTTTCAATTTGCAGAAAACAAAATACAAATTGCAGACATGCGAGAAAACTGAAGTCATTTCAAATGGGAACTTTCTGGCTTTAAGAAACACGAAAGAAATCAAGAAAAAAAAATAGTTAAATTTTCAGATCATTTTTTTTCTTGAGATTGGTTATTAATTTTCCTCACAACATCTTTGTTTTTACGATTCATTTGACAACAATGCCAAAGAATGAAATGTTTAAATTTCAAATCAAAATCAAATTATTTTTGTCTCATAATCAGTTCTGTTACGTTCTACTTTTGGAGAATCATCAACATGAATAAGTCGAAGGGTACTCCTGGTCTGACAAAAAAGGTTTGGGCATACTCAAGCCAAAAAGGTTGGGAAGCACTCCTCCAGAGTATGGTGTCCAATATGAAGGCTTGTCCTCACCCTGGACATAATTTTTTATTTTTATTTTATTTGGGGAGAATCAAGCGGCTTAATTTTGTTATGGTTCCGAACAAAGTCGGAACTGAGTGGATACCAAAAATAGAGACCAGGAGTGGATTGAGTATAAAAAATAATTTATTGTGACAAAAACTGGTCGCGAGACCAACAAAGTACAACATGAGTCGCTGGGAACAACTCAAGGTATAATTATACAACTAAACAAAAAGCTCTTCCAAAGCCAATAGAAATAATCATGTAAAATCGCTTGTCCTAAAATGACAAGGCAAAGCCAACCAAGAAGTTAAAACACACACACACACACAGAGGAAAGCAAATACCAAAACTAACTGAAGAATAACTACAACAATAGACCAGAAATACGATGAAAAACCAAGAGCGATGAGAGTCTAGAAATACAGCACTTGGGCATGAGATGGGAGCAAGGCGAATAATCTTGACAACTGGTGAGGGTTCGAGAGTCTCTTAAAACAGGTGATCCATAATGGCATGATGAGAGACAGGTGTGGGATTGGAGGCTGAGCCCTCTACTGCCACCTGCTGGAGACAAAACCAACAAGATCCATGACAAATTTAATCCATTGTGTTTGAAAGCAGTACTTTTTTTTCCTTCACCCCCCACTTGGCCGATATCGCGCTACCCTGTTATTCATCAGTCCCGTCTTATGCTCTCCTTCACCATCAGCATCCACCTCTCTTTTGATTTTTTTAAATTATCTAAAAGAAAAAAATATTATTTCCTAACCGATCCCATACTATAATCAATCATCAGCTCGTGTTTGAACTGTTTCTATCTGTATTGCCTGACACATTGGGCACCCCTTGTTACCAGTTGGAGTGGCCAGGATATTAAAGCGGGAAAAAAAAAATCAAACACTTGTAAACTTGTGTGTATACATATTCAAGTCTGAACCTGAGCATACTGTATTAGATGCATATACCTTAGAGTTCTTTAACAGCTGTAATGAAGCCTGTCTTGGGACACTTTTACTATAATAACGATAACTGTAACAAAATGAAACACTGGTGTGAACCCAAATGAAAAGATGAAAACACAATAGGGGAAAGTGCAAAAAATCTTCTTACTCAACAGCTTCATGTGCTCTTTGGTGCTAGATCAGGGGTAAATAGTAAGTTCCAAGAGTATTTCTTATTCCTCCTTGCAGCACCGAGTAGCTCTTTGTGTTGACTGCTCAAAGTGTGCAGTGAGCCCGTTATTCGGCAATAGTTATGACAGGTAGCCCAAAGGGGCTGGGCTGCCTGTGTGCAGGCAGACAGACAGAGGATTTGGCACATAGCAGAGGAGAATGCAGCATATGTAGACTACCTGTCTGCAGGAGGTCGTGCGTACCTCCCGCCAATACCACGTTGGTGTCTTTCATATTTCCTGTCTTTTATTTTGTTCATTATTGTTCCATTTTGTATTCACGTTTGTGCGTGACAGACGCATGGGACAATTAGGAAAATATGAAAGAAACCTCATCCTGTATTGGTTCAATACTGGGCATATCATTTGATTCCCAATTAAGGGACGGTTCTGTCTTTTATGGGACTCCTGGCAACATTACTCTGTTGTGCATGAAGTAGCGTCGTGCACACCTCAGTTCAATAATCTTCAAAAGTCATGTGTTTTGTTTCTTAGTTGGTTTGTGGCATTTTGGGGGCATTTACTGTTAGTGCTGTCAAGCGATTAAAATAATTGTGAGCTTAATTCATTATGATCTGTAATCAATTGATCTAATTAATCTATATTTTAATCTCATCTTAAAAGTGCTGATAAAACCCCTATTTTCATTTTTAATTCATTACATTATTGAGGCAGATCAAAAGACAAAAATGTGGCATTATAAAGTCTTTCATTGTTTGTAAACAGACTTGAACAGATGCAGTCCTCGCCATTCACTTGCTGCTGTAGTTGAGACTAGTCCCAAGTCCTACCTGCAACCTTGAGTTTCGACCACCAGGGTGAATATCACCGTTTTGTTAGTTTTTGTAAATCTCCAAATAATTACAAAATAAAAATAAAAATAGAACATCAGGTCCATAAAAAGTGCTTAGGTTAACATATCAAAAACAGTAAGAACATTTTTCTGAGCAATACAAGCACTCAACACTGAACTTGCTTCAGATATTAAAAATAAATAAATAAATAAGAGCCCCCTAAATCACAGTGCTGTAAGTTAGCACTTCAGATATGACACTGTTCATCATGACAAAATAAAGTGCTGAGATAAACATCAATCACTTCTCGTAGGCCACAGAGGACACAGCAGCTATGCTGACTTCATGCCTCGTACGGGGTGTTCTCGAGTTTAGTTTGGCAAGAGCTTTGCTTTAGCTCGCCATATTGCTAACGCTTTCGGTGCTAACGTTAGCTGTGGATGCACTCGTGACTGGGTGCTTTGCATTAATGTAAGAGGCTAAACTTGAGCTGCTTCGGAGGTCAGCAAACTCCTTACAAATTAGGCACAACACTCTACTTTTATCAATAGTGCCGTCAGGGCGTTTTTCGTATGTACATTTTTCATTCGTTGGGCCGAGAACTCCTCATCGCTGCTTACCTGGCCCTCCCAACTCCAATGGGAGCCTATCAGCTTATTCTGAACAAGCCCAAACATAATGAAAGCCAATCAATGTCCGCTTCAGGCTGTGACTGACAGTTGTTTCCCCACCCTCAACTACTGCTGTGACTGACAGTTGTTTCCCCACCCTCAAATACTCGAACACAGGAAGCCAACACATGAAAAGGGATATTATAAAAAGGCAACCCCCCTACAGAAACAATAAAGTTACAAATTAAAATTTAGATTAACACGATTAAAAAACATAATGCGCTAAATATGACTGTAATTAATTATTCGCAATTAACGCGATAAATTGACACCTCTACTTACTGTATTCCAGACCGGACTCAACAAAGAGACCGGACTCA